TTGGTTCCACAAAGAACCATTCAGTCAAAGGTTCTTTAAAGAACCATCTCTTTCTTACCTCTTTATAATCTGAAGAACCTTCTTTCGCCACAAATGTTTCTTCAGATTCTTCAGGTTCTTCAGATGTTCTTCAGAAAGGTTCTTTCTGGAACCATTTAGACAAAAAGGTTCTTCTATGGCATCGTGAAGCACCTTTATTTTTAAGAGTGTAGGACATTTAAATATTTTTTATAAACTCAGTCAGTGCAAGTTTCTTTCATTTGAAACAGCTCAGACTTACATTTTAGTCTAGGACTATAGGCTTAAGCCTTGTCTGTGAAACCAGGGGATAATTTATCCAACTAATAAGTTTCTCAAGAGATACAAAGCTTATCTCTTGGAATTTTGTGTTTTTGTGGAATGGATGTTGATTTTTTTTTGATTGATGTTGAATGTTTATTTACTATGTTGAGTGGATCTAAAATTAATATAAGGAAACGATATGTTACTGTATATTTTATTTTGATAAAAATATTTGGATAAGAGTCACATTTTTATGCTAAATCTTCTAATATTATTAGGTAAGTTTTATATATACAAATGTAAATGGTCAGAAAGGAAGCTCAATAACTCCCATTTTAAAGTTGACTTAAGGATTTATTTACTTTCAAGTCGGAAATCAACCAGAACTATGGATACACTTAAATAAATAAATTCCTCCTCTCTATTGTGATTATTAATGTATACCCTTTTTTATGTCTTCCTTTTTTATAAAATGTAAATGTCCTGTTTGTAATAATTAATTATGGTATGAATGTTAATTGTTTAGCATAAAAAAAAAAAAAAAAAAAAAAAAAAAACACTGTATATATATATATATATATTAGTGGTGTCAAAATTAGCTCGTTAAAGCAGGCGATTATTTTTTTCAGTTTAATGCGTTAAAAATATTTCACGCAATTAACGCGGGGAGGGGCTAGGGTTAACTAATTAATCGATTGACACACACACACATATATATAGGGTACAATGGGGCTAAAGGCACCCCAGGGTAAAAGGCGCCTTTGATATTACTTTCATCTAAACCACTAGATGGCACAAAAACGTGCCATAGCACTTTCCAAAACATCGGCTTTTCAAGATGCACCTGCATATTTGTCTGATCCTTGACGCGATCACGTGCAGCAGTGCGAAGTTGATTCTATGCTTACTTGATCTAATATTTGATGCTTTATAAAATGTTGTAGATTTAAGAAGCAAATGAGAATCGCTAAAATGAATGCATATATTTTGAGACAAAGGTCTTCTTTATGATTTTCAGTTTTGTTTTAGATAATTAAAGCAACAGTTTTTAAATAACGAAAGAATATGTAAAAGTATGGTATTTTAGCTCCCTGCTGTTGGGGCTAAAGGCGCACAGTAATTAACATGAGAATTAATAGATGGCTGACTTTTCCATTTGTTGACATGACATGGTTAGATCCAGATGGTAAATATCATATATTATGTTGGGTGTCCATATTAGAGATAATCACCATGTTTAGAATGAAACCATCATATTTAAAAACATGATATTAATCATATCATATAATAAAATATAATTTGTTGTTACTACTGTAAATATATATTCAATTATTATTGGCTCTCCTTCAATATTTTCATAATCTTTACTTATTTACTTATTAAAATGATTTTAAAATATATTTTTTATATTAACATATTTTAATGACAGATTTATGTCAATAAATATATTTATTGAACAAAAATTAATTCTTTTATTTTTCAAAATAAGCAGAAAATAGTACAAACTTTGCTAAA